GTAGAAATGGCTACCTTAAACGATCGATACATTTGCTGTGACCATATTAGAAATTAGAAGTGATAGTTGCAATAGTTGTGCCAAATCGATTGGACCTCTTGTCATTTGCGATAAATCTCTTTTGCAATTGTTCAATAATTGTACCGTTTTTGGAGTTTTGCTTTGGAGTGTTATATTTCGATTAAATCTTGTAAGTAAATTTAATCAATATTTTTTCAATTCATCAAAATAATACTGAATTTTAGAAAATTGTCCATATTATTCATTGAATTGGATACAAGTGTTTCCTCAAATTTGTATGTTTTAGGATGGTTGACGACATAAACATTGGTGGCCTTAGCATAACAGGCACATCTAAAAAGTATCATAGTCAAAAGTCATTAAACCATTATCTACGGTATGAACTCAACGAAGACTGTTTGATAGAGCTATTCAAATATTTGCACTTGTTTGATTTGATGCGAATTTGCGATCTCGACACCGAAGATGACCAATTTTTCACCACCCTAATCAGAGAACGTGTAATTGGTAAAAGACTAATCAAATTCTGGTCACGCTATGAAATGCTAGAGTGGACGCTCCAGAAAACATTTCAAAAATTTGGCCCATTCATAAAGCGATTGAAGATTCCGATGCATTCCGATTGTCTCAATCACATTTTTCGAACAATAGTTCAATACAGTGCACACAACGCTCTAACCGAATTGCAATACGTAAGACAACCAATAGAAGGCTATGATGAAGTAAAAGAGCCAGAGGACCGTAGTCTGTTTCAGCAAGCCATTCCATACTTTAGCAACATAAAAAATGTTATGATCGATATTGATGTATTTGTCGCCGGTGCAATGCTAGAATTTTATGGAATTCTTCTCAATTTGGACCAATTGAGAATCCTCAAAATACAGGATCAAGAAATTTGTACTTTCAAGTGGACCGATTTGGTCACAGTTCCCAATCTTAATTTGACAGAGTTGGTTGTCTATAACCATTCAGTCGGTGAAAAGGAATTAGCTAAATTTGTCCAGAAATTGCCCAATTTGGAGACGTTCATTTGGCATTGTAATTACAGTTGTCCAGACATTGGAGAGGCACTCGTAAAATATTGTCCAAAATTACAAACCTACGGTGATTATTGCACTTATCGCAATGATGATCCACACTTTTACGACTTTATCGGTCAGTTTGAACATTTGACCCGTGCAATTTTGTCATCGCGATCAACCACCGCCCATGATCTCGAAAGTACACTTCAGATTTTGGCACAGAAAAATCAACTTTGCGAATTGACAATCTTTCACAGAACTAACAAGATGATACGGTCAACCGACAACGGACAATATATTGCGTATACGAATGAATTTTCGAGTTTGAAAAGCATTTCGTTCTGCTTTTTTGAAACTGAAACATTAGAGAAGAGTAAAGATTTGAGTCAATTCGAACCACTTTTTCGCAATTTAATGACATCGATGCATGGCCTACAGAAGGTTACATTGATTAGCCGATTATACCTGTTTAATCTATCAAAAATGCTCCAATTCGCACCACAAATTCGAGAAATAAACATCCTTCAGCAGAAACTACACCAAATGCCAGCTGAGGTACGACGCATACGGAAATGTATCGAACAAATTATCAAAAAACGTCGAAATGAAGGCATATTGGATGTGGTACGAATCGTCATGAACAAGGCACAGGCCAGAGAATTTAAAACAATAAAAAACATCGATGAATTCATCAAAATTGTCATCGTAGATGATCTTGAACTGGCGGCTCTTTACAACAATATCATTAATTAAAATTACTGAATGAGATGATTTAAGGAAAGGATCAAAAATAAAAATAAAAGCCTTAAATTTCGTTTTTTCTCCAATTTTTTGCATTTAAATATAGCAACAACAAAAATAGATAGAAATTCAAAAATGAAAATAGAAAAATATTTTTATTATGCACGAAAAAAAAAATTGATGAAAGTGTCTTAACCTCAAAATTGTATGTTAACACAAAGAATAATCGAATATGTTTCGATGTCTTTACAATATTTATTCAAATGAAATAAAAAAGAATCGAGGTTTATCATCTATTTACGTCTAACATTGTTTAGCGAAAAGTAGCTGTTAGTTTCTGGCACACGTATGTGCTTGTGCATTGTTATTGTTCGATCGAGGGATTCCAGCACCAGTCAGTCAGTCACAAAGGAAACTAAGTATTGCACATTTTGGATACTTTTTTTCGACACCTTTGCCATTATCATCGCATAAACTTCACGTGTTTATTACATAAACTTTTTTGAGCTACCACAAAACATAAATAAATCCACTGATAACACTGAATGACATTAAAATGAACCAAAGTTGGAAATATTCGCATGGAAAATTGAGTCGTGTCAATGAGGGCCAAACGAGAAGTTTGCTTTGCTGTTCGCAACGTGAAAAATGTCGTAAATAAAAAATATTGTAAGGAGAACTGAAAATCGAAAAATAGAATTTGTCATCCATTTGAATTTCATAAATCTTCATATAATTGCACATTCATTCCTCTCAAGACATTCAGCATTTTCGATTCGGGCTTTGGTGGTTTGCCAACAGAGAGAATGGATAAAAAAACACACAAACGATGTGCGTGTAGATCTGCCGTTTGAATCTGATTATTGCATGTAATTAAGCATGAAATCGATATGATAGCTTTAAATTATATTTTATTTGTGTTCGCTGATGCATTTTGGAATGCATTCAAATTGAATTTTCAGCAGCATATGTTTTCAGCATTTGTGTGTATGTGTGTGCCTTAGTTTTTGTCTATGCATACTTATTGTGTATCCGAAGAAATTGGATCAGCAACGCACATCGAGAAATGCCAAAATTTAATCGAAATTCACTTTGACTTTATTTATATTCGATTCGATGTTCGGATTTTGCAGAAATTCGCTTTGCATGCGCATGCATGCCACCATCACATCCATGTAAATATATACTTGTGCTGATTATTAATTTTGCCTCTGTGTGTGCATGATTCAATTTCGACATCTTTCAAAAATAGCGCAACATATATTCAAGAATTGTTGGATCATTACTTAATGCAACTTGATGCGTTTATTGGACTTTGTGATGATAAGTGTATCGATTTTCTCATCAATTGATACACAAAATATTGATTTATTGAAACTATTTAACATTTCGATTACAAGGACTTTTGTAAACATTTCCCATCGTTTGCCTGCTTCAATTTTGTAGTAAATGAAGTTAAACTCAACTGCAAACGCATTGCGAATGTTCGGAAATGAACCAAACTAATTTGCTCCACTTGTGATTGAGAAAAAAGGACTTTTCAAAGTTTCGTTCACTCCTCGATAGCTTTCTTTTTAAGCTGTGGGAATGGAGATAACCGTTTCCATCGCCAATTTCTAACTGAAAAGTTTAATTTTTATAGTGGAGACGGTCGCATATCCTTGATGCTATCCAAAGCCAAAGTCTAGTAAATAAAGCAGTGTTGAAGAATGTATTAGGTAAGTAAAATTTGATTTGAAATTGTGTAATTCAAATGTTTATCAGAACGTTTCAATTGATTTCTTTCCACTCAATGGAATCGTATCGATTGCATGATTATTATTTTGTTTTTTTTCTATTGAATCAACCTTACCTTACCTTTGTCAAACAGTATTTACTTTGTCTTCATCCAACATTAGATTCAAACGATAGAGAGAAACAAATGAGAAAAATGAAAAGAAGATAATGTTTAGTATATAAATGTGATTTATTGAAATAAAAGTCAAGTCGATGCACTGTTTCCTTTTGACCAAAAAAATTGTTACGAAAGAAAATTCATTAATATCCCAGATGTTTAAGAAAACATAATGATTCCACTCAAATATTGTGTGAACAATTGTGGTCGAATTTGTTTTATTATTTGGTATTATCAATCGACAATTATCCCATGTGATTGTGATGAAATACGAATAGAAAATAATGACATTTGATGCGGATTTGATAGTTTAATCTCCGTTATTTTATAAAACTTTATCGCTATATTTGCTTCAATACAAAGATTTTACTCAATTTGAAGAAAAGAAAATGTCCATCATTCGACGAATGGAATTCGAAAAAGTCTGTATTACCACTTAGTTGTGACAATATTGACATAGTATTGTATATCAATGCAATAGATATATACAATGTTGCACTCAAAACGTTAGATTATTCAAATATTTGTTAAAAAATATTCTTTTGTATTGGTATGTGGTCAATCATTTGGCTGCGAATCATCATTCCGGGCAAGTAATGTGTTGTGTTGTTGTGTGTATGTGCAAAACAGATCATAATGAGTTTTCCAACTGAACTTTCGGAAACAGACGCAAATGGAGACGGTCAAATCGTCGACGCGTCCTCATGATGTTCAAAGTCAAAGATATAAATCTATATGATACGATTTATTCAACTTGGCAATATATGTTGCTGAGCGAAAAGAAATCTCAACGATTTTATGTTTCTCGGTATAATGAAAATGTGAAATGAGTTTTCTTTAATTTACTTTTAACATATCCATCAATTTTAAATTGGGAAAATGCACAATGTAGTGTGCTTTACAATCCATTTGTGTGTTTTGAACGCGAAACCAGTTTGATATCAAAGAGAGTAATAATAACACCGTACATTTCATTTTGGAACATATAAGCGATTTGAAGGCCAGATTATAAGGAACGTCATGACATCATTTCAAATATATTTTTCGACTGATGCTCGTTGACGTTTTCATCTGAAAAAAAACAATTATGCAGTTTTTGCTTGGTTCGACATGTGTTTTTGATAAAAGTTTAAAATTATTGCATGGTGTAAGCTTTTGTGTTCGAACCAATGAATTTTTCTACATAGCAAATCATTCGGTTAAAGCTTAATGTATTCATTTGCGTGATAACATAGTGCATCACATTTGAATCGAAATACGGCTGTCTTGAATTGTTTGGGAATGTGTCCAAATCAAAAGAAAAAAGTAAAAAACTCGATATATTTTGATGGTAATGTGTATATATTTAGCTGTTTTAAGTATACATTTTCTTGATTTGCATGGAAATTGCTTGAACAAAAGATGATGTTGAATTCGTATTGATCAAGTGTATTTTTTCCATTCGATAATTTTCAAGTTGGTAGATTGTATTGATGCTTAGCCGAAGAGACCGCCAAGAATGCCGCTGCTTTTCTTGTTATCATTGCTACCACCACTGAGGACTCCACCGAGTCCACTGAGAAGACCACTTCCACCATTTGAACCTGATGATGACGAACTGCCGCCAAGTAATCCACTAACTGATAAACTGCTCAACAAATCACTGTTTCCACTGCTTGATTCACTAATTCCTGGCAACATATTGGTGAAATGTTAAAAGAAGTTACCGTTATTTTTGCTTGGGATTATTGGAAGTTTAGAGCCAATATTCTTGAAGTTCGATAACAAACCATCATAATCAACGGGGAAGCTTTGTCTTGGCCGAGAGAGCAAATTGCTAAGTGGCATATCAATTTGACCATTCAAATATGGGAATAAATCGTGGGCACCAATGGTATTGGTATTTGGATCAACACAATTCTTAAGATTATTGATAATGCCCTGACCATCTAGTGGTTTACCATTGGTTTGGATTTGTGGAACCGATTTTAGAAGGTCATCATGTGAGCTTCCGCTTGATGACTTTCCTGTTTGCCGTTTTAATTGTGTTAATAAGTGAAATTTTATATTAAATCAGATGTATTTAAGCTCGGAGAATATCCTAGGGGAATATCACGCTTGAATTATTTCAAATATTTCAAAAAAAATCAATTTATCTCTAAGAATCTGTCGTATGAAATATGGTGGATACGGCTGACAATTGTGGATTTTTGTGATATTTGAGATATTTGAGATATTTGAAATAAACATTAGTTGTATGACATATTTTCAAATATTTCGAATAAATAAATCGGATTTTTGTGGATTTTGGAGATATTTGAGATTTTTTGCATTAAATCCGAATAAATACATTTAAATATCATTCACAAAAATCCACCATATTTCATACGACAGATTCTTAGAGATAAATTGGATTTTTTTGAAACATTTGAAATAATTTAAGCGTGATATTCCCCTAGTATTTAAGTGTTATCAATTCACAATGAATGAAAAGAAAGAGAGTTATTGGAACGAACACGTTATTGGAAGCCACTACTTATATATATTCGGACATATCTTACCTGGTGTATATGCGCCTGGATTTTGGCCATTTGGATTTGAGCTGGTTGGGTTTCCACTTGATGGCTTTCCGATACGGCTCTGCGGTTTTTGTCCTGGTTTTCATAAAAGAGTTGAGAAATCGTATTCAATATTAAAATAAAATTTTGGTTTCATGTTTATTTTGGCGACATCTTAAGAGCGAAGTAAGCAACACTGCGGTTTCTTGACAGTTCCCATATAAAATAGCTCCAAAGCGCCAACTGGTGCTAGCAAGTGAACTACAAGCACTTTATATGTACTTTTTCACTCTTCTGTTGACTAATTTGACATTGATTTTGACATTTTGTTTGTAGTACACTTGCTAACACCAATTGGCGACAACGATGAGAAGGTACAGCGTTGGAATTGAGCGCAACTTCGCATTATTTCATTCAGTCAATTACTGGTGGATTAACCACAAAATAACCTTTCTGAAGCCCACTACTTCCATATTCAAACAAATCTCGCCTGGTGTACATGTGCCTGGTGTCCAATGACCACTGGTTCCTGAGGTACCTTTTAATCATTAGCACAATGGATTTATAATTATGAAATTTATTATGGAATACTATGAAATGGATATAAAGGAAGCAGTTTGATTTTCATGACAATTCGACCACTTGATACAATGATGTAGACACATCGCACAAGGCAAATACAATAGACGTCAACAGCGAGTACAACTACCATTTGGTTTGACGTTTTGCTATTAAGTTAGTTTAAGTAGCTCAAATGTAAGTTAAGTTAAAGTAAAGTACTGAGTTTCATGTCAAGTCCACTGTTAAGTCTAAGGTTTAGACTTAATAGTAGACTTGACATGAAGCTCAGTTCTTTTAATGATTTCTACAAAAATCAATAGATGGCGTTAGGGGTCTAGCATTTGCCTTGTGACACATCGCATAAATATCTTGACTGCGATTACACATTCTATCAATATCATATGGACTCAAAATACCCTCTCACCTGGGATGTATTTGCCTGGTGTCCAGTAGCCATCAGTATCTGGAGTACCGTAGAATGATTAAAAGAATGAATTCATAATTAGAATTTGGAAGCGTTGTGCCAAAGTTTGGTATTAACGAGGGTATAAAAATAGTTTACCTGGCTGGTCGTTGGTTGGATTTTGGCCGCTTGGATTTGAGCTGTTTGGCTGTTGGCTTGATGGCTTGCCTGTTTGAGTTAACAAATGAGATTATATATTGATTTATAATTGGAATTTTGGGACTTCTTTGCCAAAATTGAGCATGAGCGAGAGTACTACAATTACCTACCTGGGTGGCCTGGATAGCCCGGTTCGTTTGGAGAGCCTGAAAAAAATGTTCAATATTCAACAACTCTGTTACATTTGATTACAACGTAAGCATTGATCAGTCAGAGTAATGAAGGATTTCATCCGGCTCTGAGTAAATTTTTCAAGTGCCGTCACGAAATCACATAATTTTTTTTCATCATTTTGAAATAATTCCATTAAGCTGGGTAATTGGGCTGGTTACCGCCATTTGGATTTTGCCCGTTTGGCAATGGTGTCGAGCCTCGTGGAGTGTTTTCATCCGATCCTGGATAATTACCCGGTGTAGTTTCGAATCCTATAGTGGAAAAAAACAGTTTTATTTCTAAAATATTTTAATCAAAATCACGTCACAAGTATGCTCAATAATTTAAATATATTTTTCAATACATTCACTCATGAGCTGTTCATAAAAAAATTGTGTCTTTCGAATCAGGTCGTTTGAAGGACACACATATTTTTTATTCACAATTTTCAAATGATTTGATGTTACCTGGTGAAGATTTATTTTTCTGCTAAAGAGCGCATAAAAGTTTGTCCTGGAGTTCGAGTAACACTTGAGCCGTACGCTGGTCGCCTTCTTTTTTTGACAAAGTCAACAATATCGGGCCAAAGCGCGTTCAGATTAATCGGGATCTTGTATGGTGGTGGTGAACAATTTTTAGTGCCAACGAGTTGATATTTATCACTGTCGCCATTGAATCAAGGGAATGCACTAGCGAAATTTGCGGTTAACGCAATCGACAAAATAGCCAAGAAATTCATCTTGTTAATAGTTAAAATTTCACTCTTTCAAATGCTACTTAGCCGTTGAAAGCTGAGAATTTTACTGATACCTTTCTGTCGGATCGGTGGCTTTTTTATACTCATCGCGATCACACCTCTACAACAGCAAAACAGGTGGAAAACAAATGGCACAATTCAATCGGCCAATTGTACAAATATTGTGTTCAATTTTTCCTCCATTCCGCGCATAAATTTTCGGCGATTACGAGAGTCTGTTATTGATCTTTTTTTTTCAACAAAAATAACAGTCGAGACAATAACTCTTCGACTATGTGCACACTCAAACAGATTGTTGGGCAACAAAAATTTGTTCAATGAATGTGATATGTCTACGTCAAGGAGAACGGTGTAATATAACATAAAATATTGTTTTCTCATATGCAATGGAATGGATACATTTCGGCGCATTGTTTTACAAACTGATTCGTTATATGACCATAACTTTTATTTGCCGAAAATGAAATTTACACGTCGCAGAATTGTTTATAGAAATTGTATTTTTTTTTTCAAATATGCGATGTTATAAAAAAAATGATGAAATACTAAACAAATCTAATAAGGGAAGGTGGGGAAATTCGGAACACCATCAAATTTGCCGCGAATGAATAGTTTGAGAAATGGAAACAATTTTCATCGTTTTCTCTAAACAAAACCTCATATTTCTATTAGCAGCCGACGCGTGTGCACGTACTGATAGCTCTTGCGACATCGACATGAAATCGAGTTGTGAAAATTTAATATTGAGAATGCCTGTCTGCATTGGATCCACAACATTTTTCGAAGAATCAACTCTGATGAATATGTTTATATAATTATCGTATACCATTAATATTTCGACTCACAAAAGGAATTTTGCATGAAAATTCATTGAGTGACCAAAACACGATTATGCTGTAAACCTTAGTGCATGGGGAATTTCGGAACACCCTTTATACGAAAATTTCGACAAATTATTCATTGCAATTCATGCGATTCACAAGCAAGAATTACAAATCCGACTAAAAACAATCGCTATTTCTGAAGTGCTCCCTATTTAAATTAATCCTTCTGTCATTTTCTAGCTCTCCATCAACGTTTTGCATCAAAATTGTTTCGGTTTTTTATCCATTTATAAAGTGTTCCGAATTTCCCCACCTTTCTCTACATTTATTCGTATTTTTCCGAAAATCAGCAAATAAGCAAAAAAAAAAAAAGAAAAAATACAACCAATCAATAGATTATCAAATGCTAATGCGCATCAAAGCCAAACTCATCAGCTTTTCCGTAAGTAGCATATAAGGCAGAGATTAAAATAGGGATGAAATCAAAATCTGCCTAAAAATAAACAGAATGGCCGGTAGTTCAACCAGAAATCTGTAGTTTCAAAATGAAAATACAGCTCTAAACCCCGGAATTCCGGTAGTTGCTTTTTGAACGTTTCTTATACAATGGACAAATTTTCATACTGTATATACAAAACTAAGCGGTTTTGTTCACTTGTTTTCTTTGTTTGACGAACATCGTTTGTATGCATGGTTTGAATGATGTTACGAAATGGTCAAGTGCCACTGGCACTTCTTACTGCCAGTGACACAAATGATTCCCAATATGTAGACCGGTAGGTCTGAAAATTTCCGTTAGTTTTAGAAATTTCTTTTTTTAATCTTTGATGTAGGGTAGTAGATGAGATAGTTTCCATAATCATTGCGTATAAAATGGGCAAATAAATAATCGACATTCATTCAAAACTCTGTGGAAATTCGACATACTTTTGATTTTCGAAAAAAAAAAGTTCTTTTGAGAAAAATTGCATGACGCAAAAGGAGACAAAACCACGTACACGATTGCATCTAAACTGAAAACTACCACACTTCATTGCAAGCATAAAATCCAATAAAGAATACCTAGAAAAATGTTGCCAGTTTTTCATTGCTAACCACCAAATCATCAATTCATGTTAAGCGTTAAAGTTTTTCGCAAAAAAAGCTTAAATTAGAAACTTTAAGTAGTTCAAGTGTTTCATCAGATGGGTGTGTCTGTACATAACGGGATTAATAAATTACAATTGAAATAGTTTTATTATCTCAAATCACACGTGAAAACTAATTCAAATAACTATTCGGTAGTCGTGTGGAACAAACGAAAAAAAAAAAACACCTGTGTATTCGTTGTACACAATGAAAATAAATCTGAAAATAATCGTGACCGAAAAACAACTGTTCAAATTTTACCGCTGAATATTTATAATAGATAAATATTAATAAATTTGTTTATTTTCAGTTATCCTATTTCTGTTTTCAATATTGATTTAGTTCCTATTTCAAAAAATATGCATTGAGGTAAAATAAGAGCAAAAGACGTGCGCTTTGCGAAAGTTCGACGCATATTTGGCGAAATAAAGGGAAGGAATATTTGAAAAAGCTGCGCTCGTGTATTTATACAAATTGCATTAGTACGATTAAATTGATTTGCGTTGGTGAGTCTTTTATCGAGTTAAAATTAGATTATGATAGCATTTTGTGAAATAGATACCGCAAATAAAGCATGTGTGCCAATAAATTACACCCAATAATGCGTCATTATCAAAGAGATAAAAAAAAAGATGCAGAAGAAAAATAGACGCAATGAGAAGAAAAAAAAAAAGCAAAATGGCAAACACAGTTTGAACGTCATTGCAAGTTGCTGTTCTTCTGTGTCGACTGTGGTGGAAAAACAACTTTACTCCATGATGGTAGTTCGAATGATGAGCACATAAGCATATAAAAAGAATAAGACATAGTTTCAACCAAAATCATTTCGTTCAGATTTTCATTTATTTTGTATGTTTTCTTAGACCTCAAAATTCGAATCACTTTTTATGTAATTAGTCGATGGTAAATGTCATAAGTTCTATCATTGAACCAACTGCATTCATCATCAACAGTTGCATCAGGTGCCTATCGGATTCATGAATCGCTGACATTCTTGCTATCAAACACAAAACAATGTTCAGTGGTAATAATGATTCAAAAATCGATTGCAATGAGTCACATTCAACGGAAATAAATGCGGAAGAGAATGGAAAGGACTCCAAATCTCTTGCTTCCTGTTATTTATTGATAGCTTAATCGAATTATTTCTGCTTTAATCAACACCAGTTGAACATAATCGAAGGTGTCAATAAGTCAGTTTTACCGTGGCCAATTAAAGACAAATTGGCCATATCATCGGGAAAATGAGCACATTGTTTGCAATTTGCCGCCAAATTCCTATGACTCGATCCACAACAAGAGGAAGACATATACTATAAATGGAGCATCATAATCAACATCGTCGTCGTCGCCACTCACTAATGAAAATGCTCTAATTAAAAGTTTTGATATTGAAAACGGTTTGTTGGCAGCCATATTTGTCGTTGCTTGCCGTTGATGTGTTTGTGAAAAATGTGCGCTGTATCTCTATGTGAGCGTGTTTCTAGTTTTCTTCTGGGAACTTCGATTGGAAACTGTAAATATGATGATATTGACGGCGGAAGGAAGAGGGAACCAAAGAAGAGGAGAGAGAGAGAGAGAGAGAGATCGCTTCTCGCGATATTCAACATAAACGTCGTTAAGTTTCATGATGCGAAAGCAGTTTCCCACATATTTGTCGAATCAACATTCGATAATTTCAGACGAGAGTGCTAGAGAGAGAGTGCTAGAGAGAGAGAGAGAGAGAGAGAGAGAGAGAGAGAGAGAGAGAGAGAAAGAAAGAGCAGAAGAAAAATCTATGCGAATAATAATTCGTTGTTGCATAAATCAGTTGGACACATGATGATTGTTTCGCAGCTTTGCCTCGTTGCCGCGGCATCGTCGAATGCACATGCTCAAATCTCAATATATAGTCTATGGATTTCATCGTTGTCGTCGTCGTCGTCCTCATCACATTCATCTCATCGAAAAGTATACGAGACAATTTTATGACCTTTCTAGTACTTTGGTGTGTTGTCGCTGCTCGTATATTTTGCCAGAGAAGGGACAAAAAAAAACCAACAATTCAAATAAAAGACAAATAAAAACCGCGTTCATATAATTTGCTCACTCTTCTTCTTTCCCTCACTCTCTTCATTGCTCTCGATCAAACCGGAGATATCCAGAAATTTCGGTTTTTTTTTGTTCTTTCTATTTGTCTATATAATTCGATCTGTGTATGCGAAGCAACTTGAAAACAGAAAGCCATAAAATAAATCTGAAGACGAATATTCGGAGAAGCATCAAAATCTGCGCTGCTACATGTCATTTATTTTGACTGAAACATGAAAAGAAAAATGTGAAGAAAAGAAGAAGAAAAAAAAATACTTGAGTGATTACGTCGTTTGGCCGAAATAACATTGGCACTCTGGTCATTATCCAAACAGAAATGTCGACCGAGGAATTTTCCACACGTTGCATGTGTGTGTTCACGTGTGCGGTTTACTTTTTTTCCGACGAATAAAGTGCATGTGTGTTTAGATTGCACAATCTGTGGCGAACGAGCTGGTAAACAAACGTATGTTCTGCGAAAATGCGTTCCAATAAATGTTGTTTTCATCTTCATCGTCGTAGTCGTCGTTATTCTCAAGGAGATACAAGTCATCAAAAAAAAACACACACGTGCGCTCCATGCAACACCTTCCACCTCTTTGCACAAACTTCATTCATTCGTTCAAAACACATTTCGCACAGTTTGCGTTTTTTTTCTCTTGTTTTTCACTTTGAATGTGGGAATGTGAAGGAGCCTAATCCAAAAGGCGGCAAATTTGGCGGCAAGAACGAACACTAACAAAATAAAAATGCATCATTATTACATGCACACCATAAAGCGCCTGGATTTATACTTCTACATGCAGCTTGGTCCAAGTGAAAAGCTTTCTCTTCGGTTCTCGTTTTTTTTCAGTTTGAATTGCTCTGTTCGTCTCTTGCGGCAAATTGATTTTGCAAACGATAAACAATTCAGTTTGAGAGATAGTGAAAAAGACTGAATAAACGCTAATTTCTTCTTTAATGCGAACGAGCAAATGCGCGCGAACGAGCTCACTCACTCACGCCATTCAAATTATCATGTCGAATGGCATTGGGAGGCAGGCAGACGATTCGGAATTTGATTCG